CCCCCCCCCCCCCCCCCCCCCCGGACCAAACACACAAACAAAAGTATAAAATTAGTTCTTGTTCAAAAACCAAAACTTCCAGACTGACAGCCAAAGATGAACACCAAATCTATAGCACTATCCTTAAGAATACAAGGAAACACAGCCATTCATCATAAGCATAACAGGAAGGAAAAACAACAAAGATTCTACTAGAGTACAACATAACAGGATTTAGTGGCATGGAAATACTGTATAAAAATACTAGTTCTGGAAAGCATCTTAATTTTGGAAACAGCAATTAATGTCAACAGAAATTCTAAAAACCAGTCAAGAAATTTCACCAGCAGTTCTCTGGTTAAAAACCCCATAAAAGTAGAGGTATCTGTGCATAAGATAAGTGCTGCTGACAAAATTACCAAGTCTACATTTCCATCAGCTTGATATAATGAACCACAAGAAAAAAAGTAATCAAATTGAAGAGGCCATATGTCTGATATGATTGCACATAATTTTTGGACAGGACCCACTTAATGTAACCACTAAAATGATAGCATCAGTAAATCATGTAGCCAAAGATGCCTAGGTTTTAGGTGATGCATCAATGATTGGCTTTCCAACACATGATTTAGGCGATGCCTGGGCAGAGTGTGTATCACCATACACATATTTTCACCCAACTCTCAGGAACTTCCAATACACATGCACAGATCACATTTATCACTCTAATCAATTGAAATATTCAAATCTCCCTCAAAATAATAGATTTGCTCATGCAAACCAGTTTGCCAGTTGATATATAATAGCCAACAAACGAAGCTCAAGAATCACCTCTTCTTCATACCTGATCATTTGAAAATCAGCAGGTTCCTTGGAGATCCTACTAGATCACTATGGAAGAAAATCCATGTAACTACGTATAGATTACAGCACCCTCATACAATAAAACCTTTCCCTTCTAAACCAGCCAAAGCAGCTATCAAATCAATTATGCAAATTGCACCATTTTCATACAGCAAACAATACAAAAGGTTACCCTAAAATCCAAATTCAAGAAGATTCTGCCCATCATCTCAACAGAAATGGGGAAAAAATAATGAAAAAACTCCTAAAAATTAGAGATTCAAAACATAACAATTATACCGAGAAAATAAAAAAGTAACAAGTCATCAAATTGAAAGAAATTAAATGTAACTCGTGACAATGTTGATAAAATTTAGAGCTAGCGGAAATTCAGCATCTAAAGAACATATATGCCTAACAAATCCCATGACACTTCAGATATATAAAGAACATATATTCATAACCAAGCACCTATCTTTACTTCTCTAACATCAAAAATGTTACCTCAAAATCGACAATAGTAGTTTCATGACTTCCTATGCCACTGGACCAAAATTGAGCTATTGAGAGTTCCATTGTCCTGCCACCCTCCACTGGAAAGGCAAAACTTTTGGCAGAAGGAGACGAGAATGTAATAACATTTTCCCACTTCTTAGGCCTTTGCAACGGAGATATCTGCACATAGAAAGCATGTCAAAGCAGGTATAGACCACACGAAATAAGATCTCAAATTTTGTACCTGAACAGCATCAATGAAGAATCTTCTAGCTGTATCAAAGCCTGATGTCCGGATAGTTGCCTCAACCCAACTAGCACCATCTGGTACCTCAATAAAGCTGCGTTCAATATGGCCTATAAAACAAGCGGGACATGCAGAAAGGATAAAAATTAAAAACGTGTTATTCTCTAATAGCACCCACGGTGGAATGACCTTCAGTGCCAGAACTATGTAAAGAAAAAGAAGTGAACCGCTACAACCTACCAACTATAGGAAAGAAACAAAAAAATTATTAACACCAATAAAAATGTCTGTGGTACCAATAATCAGCTCTTAATCTATATACGTAAAATGCAATTTGTTCAACTGTTTCTTTTTGAGGCTGTGTTCTTTGTTAAGCAAATAAGGGAGTTCCAGGTTCACAAAAGTTCAAGCATTAGAAGATATATTTTATAATCTAAATTACTCCTTATATTCTTCTAGGAAACTAATCACCAATGAAACTTCTCCCTTTGCAGATAAACTAGACAAAACTGCATGCAAGACCATTTTAACATATAGTCATGATACAAGCATGTGAAATAGAAGAAAATTTGCCAACAAACAGGTGGAGAGGTTGTAAATGCATTTCATTTTATAGTTGGATACCACATTAATCACCTGGCAGAAATGACATCCCCAAAAATGAAATTAGTGGGAGTCCATTTTTTACAGCTTTAGGCTTCGTTATAGTAACTGGAATTCTGAAGAGAGGACCACGCCACGGCGCTTTGCAGTCTATCCCATAAACTTCATAATAGTGTAAACCATCACTAAGATTCGTAGGATCTACAACTATGCTGGAAAACAAATGAAAAGCAGACTTTGTAATTTGTTATATAAATACAAAGACACATTAAGAATTCTTTACTCAGTTGTGTATGTAAACAACAATAGAATAAACGATAACAAATAGATCAAAAAATATTACAAGCAGATATAACCAAACATTAAATGACCATATCCAAAACGTAAACAAAGGTAAAGGCCAAAGTACGTGTTCCCTTTCCAGGCAACTGCAAGAATTCAACCCACCACTTAAATTAAAAGGCATTATATGGCTTTTTCATTAATAAATATGTATTTCCTCTCAGTTTCTGCTCCATATAAACACTTATGGTGGCAAATCAAACAATGACCCATTACACTTGGCCTTCTTCTTGGAAGGTTAAGCACTTGTGCAACAGGAACAATATTTTCAGCATACAACATAAAGAAGTGAACAAAATTAACCTTGTCTATCTCCACAAAGGCTAAACAGGCCCAATAAGACACAGCGCAACATTAAAAAGTAAATCAACTCATGCAAGAAGAAGAACCATTACCCCTGAAATATTGCACTGAAATGAGGTCACAAAAAACTTCTTTTACTAATTACTATTCCGCCGGCAACCAGCATAATTATCTTCTCTTATTTTTGCATGGAAAATAACTGAAAAACACCATATGACAAATTGTCTGCGTAACTCTGAATTTTGCATAAATTTATGTGTTTGGATTCCATTAGGATATGCAGAATAGCAAAGTTCCAGGCTTACTGACCACATAGAATTGGCCTTTATTGGAGAACCCATATCCCAATGAATCAGCCTATTCATTAGTGCAGCCACAAGAAGTGTGCTACCATCAGCCTCCGCATCACATCAATCCCACAAATGGAAAAACATTGGATCCAACGCAAAACCATGAAATTCAAAAGCACACTTTCTTGCTTTTGGAAACTTCGCTCCCCAAGTGATGGAGTATGGCCACAACATGAGCCTGGTGCAAACCCACTCCATGAAGGCTCTCTCTCTCTCTCTCATGCACGCACGAACAAAACTTGCATCAATGCAATACTTACATATAAGCATTGGCATATCAAAATTCAAGCCATATGCATAAATGAGCTTAAATGCTTGCAACTTGCAAAAATTAAAGCAATCCAATTCTTTCTTGAATTCAAAGTAAAACAAGATTATATAAGCAAACAAATGTCAACAATGGCACTTATACAAACAGAAACGCATAAGAAAAGGAAGAGGGCTAAGAAAGAGAGAATAAAATAGAGAAACACTACTCAAGATGTGTGAAAATTTATGAAATATACAAAATAACAGTAAATGCACGCTTACTTACTTGAAGCTACGCCCATTATGAGTGAGAAGGAGATATCCAGGAGCTCTCACCACTGCCTCTCCACTAGAGTGTAATTGAATGCACTCCTCAAAAGGAACCAGTTCATCCAAATTGCTTGCATCTTCATGGAACTTCGGTTCAATTTGCACTGTCCACTGCAGGGAAACTTCTTGTCAGTTCTAAGAGAGAATGATTTGCAAGGCAACATAACAATTAGTCTTAGGTGTATACATCTAGCTGATGCAGCAGCTAACTAGGAAATAGTATTCCTCATGACACGAAAATGTATCAGAGGAACCTTTGACTATGTTCTTTGAACAAAAGTACAGAACATCATTAGATCATTAGACACGACTTCGACACATCAACATACAAAAACTCCAAATGAGACACTGGAACAAGCTAATGGCAATAAATAGGTCTATCCATCCAATACCATTACATGGCATACCAGCTATAACTTGGATAAACATATCATGAAGTTGTCTATGTAACATGAGATAATTGGATGAGATGGACAAGTACTTCCATGGTGGTGTATTACCAATGCAAACCAAATTAGAGAAGAAAACAGAAACAAGGACAGCTGCCATGTCATACACTCTAATAGTATAAAATGTATGCATTTAGGGAACAAGTCCCCTATATTCTGAATCATCTTTTGGAATCATTTAACCATCAACAGTGAGTTTTGACTCAGAACTTTGACAGATAAAAAGGTTAGTTTTGGCGCAGGCCACTCCCCAAACTGTACTAGCAAGTTTCCTCCCTCCCATCTGTACTAGCAAGTTTTCACACCATAAAACACTCCATGCTACTCCGAGAAAAAACACTATAGCACCTATGAGTACCTGAAACATGTTTGAATGAGAGAACTATAATGAAATATATGATTAACAAACATCTATTGAATTTGAAACAAAAAGAGAGAAGAAATGGTTTGATTCTATTTATCACCAAAAATATAAAGTTGGGGGAATCAATTGGGGTTGCACATAAATATGTTGGTATTCAGGCCAACCTAGCTTAGTCTGGTGAAATATCATCAACCTAAATTCAGGAAAATTAAACCTTTTCTCCTTCACTCCAAGATCAACAACAACTTGTGTTCTGACAAGTTGTAGAAATAAGCATATATGCGAAAAGGATGTAGAGACATGTGATTTAAAACAAAATAAACATGATTTTTTGTCTTTTTTTTCTTTCTTTCTTTCTTTGGAAGTTAGAGGGTGCATAGTTGATTAAAATATGAGAGAATTTCAACCAAATATCGTATGCACAGACATGAAAAACATGGATTGCTATGCCAACAAGAAGTGAATATGATTTCAAAAATTGCAGTGTCTAAACATATCATAGTATAGGATGCTTATCAGGTACAGAAAAAAGGTTAACAAAGTTCCTGAAAGATTATAACAATCTGACCTCGGTTGATTGTCGGCAAGAACAAGAATCTCTCAGGTAAATGCCTCGTGATGTAGGGGCTGCAATCAAAAATGAATCATGAATCACAATCTAATTCTTTTCCAGGGAAAAAAAAGTCAATTGAATTACTGGAAGAGGCCTTGGACACCATAAATTAATGGCCAAAACCTTCACAGCCATATATAATGCCACCACTAAGCCTTAAAGTTGATGTACATTTCGGTTATGAGATGTATACAATTGCATAAATCATGCCCAAAGAATATTTCATAAGCACACAAAAATTCATCACATTCATTACCCTTCCTGAACAATCAAATTATGCAAAAAATCAATCTACAGGCATGTGTGCACATGTATATGGGGTTGGGAAGGGCGTGCCACTCACAGAAACTCATGTGTGTGAGCAATAACACAGACAGAGGAAGACAGAGTGGAAGAAGAGGAGAATTGACCCACTTAATTTGCCAGCTTGATTGATCTTTATCTGATACCAAACACAGGGGCAATCACGCGACTTCTGAATGTATTCATGTGCCCTGTATATAGAAGATCACAAAGATAAATTGCCACATTATAGGTTCATCAATTTCTTGCAGCTAAATGACAAAGGCCCAAACGGGAAATCTAACTTGTCAACTTGCATAAGCCCTTGCCCAGTGGATAGTTTATCTTCCGGCAAGCTTCCCACAGGAATAGATGTATTCTCAAGAGCTTTCCGAACACTGTATGGACTAACAGGAATGCCCTCAGCCTGCATCAACATAAGTATATGATTATGTTCTCTACTCAAAGAAAAAAGAGACAATGAAGATACCATCAATAGGGAAAACATTCGGGAGAGCATATCCCAGCAACCTTCATGGCACTAATGAGCAATGCGATTCCTCCACAAGCAGATGGAGATGACATCGATGTTCCATTCATAAGCATGCGTCGCTGAAGAGTCCAAGTAGGGACTGGAGCTACAGCCCCACCAGGGGCACTTATACAGACGCCAAGATCGCCGTCAACTGTTGGCCCTCTGCTAGACCTGCATCTCTTTCATACAGTTATATGCAGTCCAACGGCAATCCCAAAAATTAAAGCAAAAAGGGCATGGGCATTTTCAGATAATTATCATTTACTAAGGTCAAAAGATGAGAGAATACATTCACTGCATAATGGCAAATCTAGATTTGAGGTCGTTCTTCACAGAAAGACGGAATATACCAAGTGTATTCAAGGCCTTCAGAAGGAGCTTCAACTACACAATGAGCTCCATAAGCCATAGCAGGAGAGACATAAGCACCAACTCCTATTATGCTAGAAGTGGTACCACCAGGAGCACCCACAGTACTCAATGCTGGGCCACTGTTGCCGGCACTACTGACAAAAATCAGGCGGTGCTTGTTCACTACCTATATATTCAACCAACGGGTCATCTACAACATTAAGAGGGCATAATACTTAATAACGGACACAGCAAGCAAAAATTGCATGGGGTTTAGAATTGTTTTGCCTCATTAACGAGATCAACAAAGCGGCCATAGTCTGGCAGCAAGGTAGATTCTCCATAACTCATGTTGATGAGATCACATTTGTGCTGCAAATAATACATGTATGATTAACATTAGCAATATTTTTTTTCAAATTATTCTATGCACCACATTAATAAAAAGGTTACCAAATCAGGTAAGCTAACAATATACTCCTCATGCTGTTTTTATCGCATAAAAGGAACAAAACATGTTCCAAATGATATTTATTTCAGACTTCAGATTTACTTAATCCATCTGACAAGCCCTACCTCCACAGCAGCTATCAGTGCCCGTGTCAAGCCTGTTCCCGTTTCCATTGAACCTAAGCGTGAGTCTCCAATTTTACACGAAATTAATTGTGCTCCGGGTGCAACTCCATTCAACAGAGGTTCCTGCATGATGACACTCCGTTTAAGGGAATAAAACACTTTTGCCACCCCCCAAAAAACAAGATATTAAATGTTGACATCACAAGAAAAAGTCAATTAAATTGCAGTGGATGGTGATATTACCTTCGGGTGGAAAGCAGTAGCAATACCAGCAACATGAGTGCCATGGGGTGAGCTATCTGTTACGATACTTAAAATGTTGCCTTCATTGTACACATTAGCAACGAAGGTACAAGCATCTAGTTTGCTAAAAATGCCAAAGTTTTGTTCAATCCTGCACCATTAATTCATCCGATCAGGTAATATGCCAAATTCCTACCTGTATCCAAACTCGCGTACTTAAAAAAAAGCACAAGAAAAATGAAAGCAAAAGAAGAAGATATTTCAAGAATTCATCAAATTATGCGTGGTAATGTCCCATTTACCCCTACGACAAACAAACCTACGGGCAAGGCATTTTTGGGGAGTAGCCCGCCTCTTATTATTCAATAGAGCAATTCCTCGCATATAATTAAGGAAGCCATCTAAAGGTGACTAAAACGCCAAAAACGGGGACTACCCAAACTAATGATAGAGCCAAGAACACTTTCCGGCCAAGCCCCATTAATTGATCATGACGATATCGTGGAAATGCTACACGGACCCCTATACAGAGGTACGGAAAAAGAATCGCCTTCATACTAAACCAGATCGGGCTTGGAATCTTCTTGGAAATGAGGAGATCTAGGATAGGTGGCCAACCATGATGTGAAAGCTCAGCAATTAACTATACTATGCTTTGAACCACTGGATAGAATTTATCTTATGTGCTTGTCCAAGAATAATTTTTCAGAAGCTGTCATAATCCTACAAAGTAAACTTCTAGGTCGCTATACAACTATACAAAGACAATGTGCTACCCACTTTGATTGTGTTTTGAGATCCAAATTCCTTTTTGTTTCCACAAAGTTTTTCTTCGTTTCCATTGGAAGATACGTTCTTCACTGAGTCAAATCTCTCATGTGCATGCACCCACCCTCACCACAGATACATCATTTATCCACTGAAATCCTGTGGAGATGGCTCCATGGAATGGAGTCAAATTTGGGGCATCAAACACCTGAGAGGGGAGGCGGCCCAAGAGCAGTGGAGCCTCGAGAGAGAGATCAGCAAGTTAGAATAGCTACACACTCGCTTTCGTGAGGAGGCCGGCCAATTCCTTCAAAGGAACTTGCACGTCACAAATCCAACCAGTTGGATTTATAAACAAAGTACTTTAGACTAAAAGTATATTTCCACCATTTAACTTTGAAACGGCCCTTGAGAAACAAATCAACCCACTGACCAGCTGCTCCGTGAACCTAGTGGCAGCAAATACCTTGAGATGGTAAAATCCAACAGACAACCAGAAATAGACTAGTTTAAAATGTTATATAGTATATTTATATGCATTCCTAATCTTTCATTGTCTTCTTTTTGTCATCGATCACCAGCCCATCTAAACCAGAAATTTAGCTCTTACACCACATAATATTGCCACTATTATACATTACATACCTGTAATTGGTTAACGGAACAAAGTCAGCAAGTTTCCCACACCCTGGTTCATCCTCAAGACTCTGTGTGTCAAGGGCAACTCTCCATAATTCTCCATCGTGCCAGGTAACGGCATCTACAACAGGCCCTTTATCATCATAGCTCTAAAAGTTAGAAGAAAAAAAAAAGTATCAATTATAAGAAAAAATTTGTAATGGGAAACAAGAAAGAAAAGCAAATTATCTAGGACACTTGACACTGACATCAGCTTGCTTGCGCAGAAAATCAACTCTGTTCTGGAGATCTTCACGATCCCTTTTCAAGTTTGCATCCTCGATTTTTGTGTGTTTCTAGAAACAGGAAGTCAATAACTATAATATACAAGATAAAAAATAAAAATAAAAACACCTTGCACAGCAAGTATGTTGAAAGAAGACCATGCAAGTAAGCAACATACTCCGGAACAGGATGATTCTCGAGTGATAGAAAAGTTTAAGCAGCACTGGAACTAGTAGAAAGAGTAAGCATTGCATCTCATGCACGATGAATAAGACTCAGTTGAGATCAATCTATTCTATTTCTTCTGCTGGAAACTCTAGTCTAAACCAATGAAAATGCATCTAACTATGTTTCCTATCAAAAAAAAAAAAGCATATAACTACATAAGTAATGCAAAATAAAACTGCTTGACACATGGATAAAGCACTGCAAATATATGAACTTTACTACATAATTGGAAGCAATCGTAAACTTGTAATTTACCAAGCCAACAAAATTGTAACTTAAGGACCAACACTTTCCAGGGCGTATAGAATGCTCTCAAGTATAAAAGTATACAATAAAATGAAAAGTCTATTGCATTCCAGGAACAGATACACATGCATTCAATATAGTAACCTATAAACGAAACAATAAGCAGCGCATGGACAACCTTCTCCAATTCATCAAGCTGCTTTACAGCTTCAGCTATTGCTTCCTGATTTTTCTTGTCCCAAGTTTTCTTTCTTTCTTTCTGTCCAAGGAAAATTTTATAGAAAATAAGAAGACAATAAAACACAACTATTCTTAAGCAAACTTGCACAGAGTGTACGGGACAAACTATCTGATCGAGCAATCATAAATATGAGGCATACCTTCAAACGAGAAGTCAAGGCGTCTGTAAAGAAATCATACACGAATTTATAGCCTACATGCCATTCTCCAGAGGGGTTCTTCCAGGCAGAATTAACAATCAGAGAAGCTCCTGAGATTAGTTATTGCATTAAACAACTTAATGCATATAGCCTATGGACCAGGCTAAGCTTCAGGTAAATTATTTAAAGTGGGAGCGATACCAATCCAAACAACAATTCAAAAGGAGAAAGAACACAAACATATGTATAAGAACAACAAGAAACATGATAGATATCGTTCAAAAAGAAATGGAAAAGACAGAAAAAGCAACACATTTGTTTTATGTGGCAATGAACATCCCACTAAAATTGCAACTCTTAACATGAAGCTATAATTAACTAAATCTACTGTTCAACGAGCACTTTTGAGCAAAACTTCAGGGCCAAAAATGAGACTTATTACATGTCCATTTACCTGATATTTCTGCTATGCAGTACAAATAACACTACACATAATACGTGCACAAAAATGGTGAACATGTCAGAGAAAGATCCAGTACTTTATGAGGCCCCATATTTAGACTNCATGGATAAAGCACTGCAAATATATGAACTTTACTACATAATTGGAAGCAATCGTAAACTTGTAATTTACCAAGCCAACAAAATTGTAACTTAAGGACCAACACTTTCCAGGGCGTATAGAATGCTCTCAAGTATAAAAGTATACAATAAAATGAAAAGTCTATTGCATTCCAGGAACAGATACACATGCATTCAATATAGTAACCTATAAACGAAACAATAAGCAGCGCATGGACAACCTTCTCCAATTCATCAAGCTGCTTTACAGCTTCAGCTATTGCTTCCTGATTTTTCTTGTCCCAAGTTTTCTTTCTTTCTTTCTGTCCAAGGAAAATTTTATAGAAAATAAGAAGACAATAAAACACAACTATTCTTAAGCAAACTTGCACAGAGTGTACGGGACAAACTATCTGATCGAGCAATCATAAATATGAGGCATACCTTCAAACGAGAAGTCAAGGCGTCTGTAAAGAAATCATACACGAATTTATAGCCTACATGCCATTCTCCAGAGGGGTTCTTCCAGGCAGAATTAACAATCAGAGAAGCTCCTGAGATTAGTTATTGCATTAAACAACTTAATGCATATAGCCTATGGACCAGGCTAAGCTTCAGGTAAATTATTTAAAGTGGGAGCGATACCAATCCAAACAACAATTCAAAAGGAGAAAGAACACAAACATATGTATAAGAACAGCAAGAAACATGATAGATATCGTTCAAAAAGAAATGGAAAAGACAGAAAAAGCAACACATTTGTTTTATGTGGCAATGAACATCCCACTAAAATTGCAACTCTTAACATGAAGCTATAATTAACTAAATCTACTGTTCAACGAGCACTTTTGAGCAAAACTTCAGGGCCAAAAATGAGACTTATTACATGTCCATTTACCTGATATTTCTGCTATGCAGTACAAATAACACTACACATAATACGTGCACAAAAATGGTGAACATGTCAGAGAAAGATCCAGTACTTTATGAGGCCCCATATTTAGACTGACTGGACCAGCATGTCAGAAAGTATAAATTGTTTCTCATTATTTTCTCGGCAGTAGATAATAAAGCAGGGGAAATCTCAAGTTTACGAAAACCAATCCAGCAAAAGGTAAGAGAAAATAAATAAAGATATCATCCAACGGACCAGGGTTTGTGTTGCTTCTTAGCATGAGAGGAACTACTGTAGATGGTCTGCTGAAGTAACTTTAAGAGGTCTAATTACTCTTGAGCATATCAGACAACAATATTTAATGAGATGTGTCATAACAGTGGTCATAATCATCCATCATGGTCATGAAGTAATTGAATAACTAAGATATAAATGCATAAATCAAGTCGTTATAAACCATTATGTAGTCAAAGCAAAATCAGGGCACAAAACTCATTTACTGAGGCAAGAACTTTAGTATAATCAAGTAAATTACAGCCACATTCACCACTTGACATCATCAACAATCAATCCTACAGAAAGAAGTCACAACAGGCATCAAGTGAACTTCCTTGCTTTAGATTATAGCACCAAACTGCTAAGCAATGCGTCCAGAACATACCTGAGGCTCCCTGAATACAACCATCGGCATCGGCCTTCACCACACTTGAGGTATCAATATCTCCACTTCCAGTACTGTAAAGTAGAAAAGCATTACTTACTGCAAAAAAATAAAAGTAGAAAAGCATACCAATCAAGCACATCCGAATTTTTTGGAATATAGTCTGAAAGCATACCAATCAAGCACATCCAGAATTTTTGGCTTCCCATCCGAGGTTACTTGTAATCCAGCAGCAGCTGGGTCCACACCAGAATCTGAAAAACAGGAAAAAGGCATAGAAAGCACACTAAAACCACGTTGATTAGGAAATAAGGAACTTTGAACCACATTGATTAGGAAATAAGAAATTCAAACTTCCAATTTCTACATGTTTTAGGAAACTAGTCCGATTATATGTCTTGCATAAAAGTAAAGCAGATAGACTTAAAAGAAGGTATTTTCATCTGGCTTGAGAATCCAACAACAACCATTTATTTCATAGTATTCCTCATACCATCCCGGAAGTGCTAAGTATCATGGATTTTATTGTTCACAATGTTATGCATACACCATCTTCTTCCAGTGACAAATCCAATCAAAGAACAGCAAATATATATGCGAGCATCAACATTATGAAGTTCTGGAAACCCATGATCGTACTAGCATTGGATATAAACTTTGCACCACGGGTCAATTCCCAAACTTTATCATCACATCACACAAAAAACAAAGTGGCGTAAACAGAGTTAAACTACTTCAGATCAATCAAACTCACAAGAAAGCCCAAACAGCTTTTTAACTTTGGATCAATCCACTATTTACAATTTTATTCCACTTAAACTAAAAAAATCCTGAGCCTAATAAGTTTCTTTCTTCTCCCACATTTTATCGGCAACCAAACAGTGAATAAAGAACACTGAATCAATTAAAAGACAGTACCGAAGATAGCAATAACAACGCCACGGCCATCAAAGTCCGGATGAGCTTCGATGAACCGATCGGCACCAGTCTCTCTCTTCGGCATCAGGGAAGCTAAGAAAGTGGACTCGTTCAGCTTGAAATTTCGCAACGCCCCATTTTCTTCAACAGAATTCACAAACGAAGAACAAGGCATCGCCTTACTCCTACTATACTTTCTCTCTGCTCCGCTGTTTCTTTTCCTCTCTCTACTTGATCTGCTGGTAAGCTTTTCGGGAGTAATTATGAGTAGGGGAGGAGAGAGAAACGGCGAAGAAATTGATTGGAATTTAGCCACAAACCTCCCTTTACATAAAGTGTTTTGCATTTTAGATAAACTTGTTTAGGGGTGTTTTGGTAATTCAGTGTGGGATGCTTGGGGATTCCGGCGATGGCGTGGAAAGGAGAGGGTGCCACCTGCCCTGATATTATGGGATTGTTGCAGGGGATATTGGGTTTTTTTTTTTTTTGTTTTGGTCATCAGGGATATTGGGTGGGTATTGGGTGGTTTGAGTGTTGCTCGTTGCTGTGAAATTACCTTCTCTGTCCTTACCTGGAATGTATTGACTATTATGTTCTTTTGGGTGAGGATTAGGATTTTGTTACGTTGATAGGCCCATGGGCAAAGGGGTCCAGATTAGCCAACGATGACAACACAATTTTGGGTTAAATTACATTCATCTCCCCTAAGATTTGGTCAAATAACAATAAAACCATTCTTGTATGAAAAATTACACTGCACTCCCTCAGCTTGTGTTTTTATGTCCCAGGTGTTAGTCTATTATTAAAGAGTCGTAAAAAAATTGATGATGTAAACAATTCATTATTTTAAAATACCAATGTTGCCTTTATCTAGGTTAATGTTGTGAAAATAAGAGAATTATATAGATTACAAAGAGAATATAGATAATATATATATCATAGGGGAAAAACTTCTCAACTTGTGTATTTTTTAATGTGGTGACGACCTTCTTTTATAGACTTCAAATCATAATAGTCATCAAATACAATATTAATTCTGGGTAAAAGTTATAGAGTCAAATACTAACACATATTAAATTGATAGGCTAGAGTTCATCCATATTTGTATACAATATATTTACAACACTCCATCAAGGATGATTATTATACTAAGATAATATGACTCGTTAAAACCTTATTAGAAAAACTTTGTGGGAAAAAATTCAGTGAATGAAAAAAAGTACATATTTAGATGAATCTTAGAATAGCGTTGACCGCATTAATGTTGCCTTATTAAAACCTTGTTAGAAAAGCCCAATAGGATAAAATCTAAACGAAAGAAAAATAGTATAACGTGCATATATCATGTATCTTGATATAGATACTCCCCTTGATGAAAATTTCTCCCTGATAAAAAAAAAAATTTGAGTTGGTCACAAACTTGATGCATTCCAATATCATACACCATTTTCTTGAACGATGATAATGGTAAAATTTTAATAAATAAATATACAAGATTGTCACTAGATCGTATTTGTTTTACTTCAATTTCATGACTTTGCTGGAATTCATGAGTGTAGAAGAATTTTAGAGAAATATGTTTGGTTCTATCACATTTGATAAACTCTCTTTTAATTTGTGTAATGCAAGCAGCATTATTTTCATATAAAGTTGTTGGTGAATTTGTAATCAAAGAAAGTCTGCAAATATCTCGGATGTGATAGATTATAGACCTTAGCCACACACATTCATGGCTCGCTTCATGGAGTATAAGTATCCCAAAATGATTGAAAAATGTAGCAATCAAAATCTGCTTAATAGATCGTCATGAGATTATTGTGTCATTACATGTGGAAACATACCTAGTTTGTAAACGAACCTTGTGGAGATCTGATAGATATCCTGAATCAACTTGTTTTGAGTATAACAAATCTAAATATGTAGTTTCATAAAGATAACATAGGACATGTTTTACGTCATTCCAATGTCGTCGAGTTGGTGCAGAACTAAATTTTGCCAACAAGTTGATTGCAAACGCTATATCAAGCCTAGTACACTGTGCTAAGTATAACAAAGCATTAATTGCACTTAAGTATGGTACTTCAGGGCTAAGAAACATTTTATTTTCCTCCTTAGGACGAAAAGGGTCCTTATTGACATCAAGAGATCAAACAACCATTTGAGTACTTAACAAATATGTTTTATCTATACTAAACCACTTTAGGATCTTTTTCGGTTAAGATTGTTCGATGAATAAAAATTTTGTTTAACGTATTCTGGATCTGCAGGCCGAGACAGTACTTTGTTTTTTCCAAGATCTTTCATCTCAAATTCTTTTTTAAAATGTTCAGTAACTTTTATCAACTCTTTTGAAGTTTCAATCAGATTCATATCATCGACATATACTACAATGATGACAAATACATATTCTAATTTCTTAATAAATACACACAAGCATATGTGATTGTTAACATACCTTTCATTTGTCAAGTATTCACTGAGACGGTTATACCATATTCTTTTAGATTGTTTCAATCCATATAAGAATCATCTTAACTTAATTGAATACATGTTTTGTAGTTTTGATGTATTTATTTCAGGCAAGTGCAATCATTCAAGAACTTTTATATAAATATTAGTATCTAACTTTTCGTACAAATATGTAATGACAACGTTCATAAGATGCATGTCGAGTCATTATGAGATTGCTAGACTAATAAGATAGCGAAATATAATTGCATCAATTACTAGTGAGTATCTTTTTTCGCAATCAATCATGGGTCTTGGCAGGAACTCTTGAGTCACTAAATGTACTATATATCGCATATTTATTTATTTATTTTTACTTTCATATAAATACACACGTATATTCAATAGGCTTCACATCTTAAAGTATTGGACTACGGGTCTAATTTAATAACTTTCGAAGTTTTAGAATTACAGGCCTATATTTACATTTTTAGGTATATTGGACTGTGGGCAAGGATCAAAATGTCGTGTCGACACGTCCGAAACGTTTCGGAATTTCAACACTCCGAAACGAAACAGTAGTTGAATCACAAAATTCCAGTGTTTCGGTCGAAACGGTACTGTTTCGGACCGTTTCGGTCGAAACGGCATTGTTTCGAACCGTTTCGACAAAACAGTGATATATTCGGTTCATTATGAATAATTATATTTAATACCCCATTATAATTATATTTAATACCCACTGTAATTACATTTAATACTCACTATAATTATATTTAATATCCCACTATAATTACATTTAATTCCCACTGCTCTTCTGTCTTTTATAATTTTTTTGTTATAAGAATAAATAATTACACTTAATACCCTACTATAATTATATTTAATACCCATTATAATTATATTTAATACATACTGTAATTATATTTAATACCTCACTGCTGTGCAAGTTTTTTG